AATTCTCACCAAAAACCTACTCAAACATCCTGTGTCCTATCTCATCTATCTCTGCAGTTTTTTAGTTACTGTAAAAATGAACCTTTTAAAATTAAAAAGAAAAAGAAAAAAAAACCCACAACACCAAAAAACCAAACACGCAACACAGCAGTAACGCCAGGGTATTCTTAGCCCTGTTTTTACTGCTAAGGAAATTTTGACCAATAGTACCTTGTCATAAGTCAATGCATTCACAGATAAACAAGGGATAAAAAATCTAAACATATCTGACTCTAAAAGTTACCTTAATGACCCTCAACTATAAATGACCTAATGGCATTTGGATGTCCCATTCAACTGTGTCCACTGGACAACCTTTTGGAAAACAAAATCTCACCTGCTACACAATCACAAGAGCACCATGGAAATATAAATGTAATATATGTCTCTGGAAATGTCCACATACACAACCCTCCCATTCATGAAAATTAGAGGGCAAATACTTCAGACATATTAGAAGTAAATTAAGTACTACAACATGGGAAGTAGGTTTTAGTCCAGATCCTGCCAACTATTCAGTGGAGTTAGTACCAGCATCTAGATCACTGATTTCCACGTAGTACATATACAGTAAATACTGGCTTAATAAGATATGAATCGTATCTAAATTGTCTTTCTTCATTTAGGTACCACATATCTACTGAACATCTTATTTGCCTGGCACTGGGATGAGAGGAGCCCTAGTGAAGAGTGGACCAATCTTTCAGCTGCCAAATAAAAGGTAGAAAATAAGGCTGTTTACTCTCATAAAGATTTACTGCCTTGGAAAAATCTATGTGTAGTTCTCTTCTGTACACCACAGTAGTTATGAGTCAAAATGCATTTTTTTGCTTTTCATTTTTATAATACTCAATGAAATGTACTTAGAATACAAATATGAAAATAAGCCCCTGTGTCTGCTATTAAAGCAGTCATATTAACTAATTTCTATTGTTGTTGTTATGTAAAGTTATAATAAATGCTAAAATAAAAATCTTTACAATATGCTTTCAAAGCAAGTTCTAATCTAAGATGCCATGGTATACTATATTTGTAAAAACAATAAGCCAAATTACATTGAAAAGATTCTTAGTGATCCTACAGGACAGAGCAGGGTTTCCAGCTGTACCCTCAGGAGCTGACTGTCATAAATCTTTGTAAAGTGGAGCAGCCAGTGAGTTCCAACTGCTGACTTCTGTTAGCAGTCAAACTGAGAGATCAAGCCACTACACCACTGAAACTATTTATATCTGAAAAAAACCACCTAATTTAAAATGCAACTCAATTCAGTTTTGCAACAATGTCAAGTGCTCAGCCAGAGTGCTTCTAGCAGGCAAAAATTTTAAGACCTTGTTTCACATACTGTAGGCATATCAGGAGGACCAGTTAATAGAAAGGACATTATGCTTGCAAAGGTGGAGGGTCAGAAAAAGGAAGATCCTCAACAAGATGGACTGACAGAGTGACTACAATGATGGGCTGATACTGATATTGTAAGCCTGGTGCAGGTTCCAGAAAAGTTTTGATCTGTTGTACATGGGGTTCCTATGAGTTGGACTCAATTAACTCCTAACTACAAAAAGGTATTCATTGTAGAGCTGAAATAAGTTAATCTCTGAATTGCAAGTAATATTACCTAACAAACCCATCTGAAATACTGACTTTGTTTTGATAATAGAATCGGGAACATGCCTTCCATCTAAAAGACTTTACCTAAGGTGTAAATAGAGGGCCTGAGATTCACCTCTGAAATAAGACTTCATTTCTGGCAAAATAGGACAATTTGGGAGACAATATAGGATCTAAGACAAGTTGTTTTCTTTAAAACCTTGGCTAACAATTGCCATTTCCTTACACAATGTCATCTTTTTTTTTAACATACTCTAAACAATGCTAAAGAATACCCCTCGCCCCGTAATGTACACTTCTCTTTTTCATTTTAAAATGCTGTGTATGACACAATGCTAAATAGGCATTCAAAGTGAAGTGGTTTTTTTCTTATACAGAATAAAACGTATCAAATGAACATAAAGAGTGTTTCTTTTCCACCAAAGACCCTGATAGGATTTTCTTTTCTCCAAGTCATTTTTACATTTATCAAATTTTAACTGAATTCCACAGGAATAGAGGTTCCAGGAGAAGAAAGGTCACTGAACTCTTTGGAGGAAGGGCGTGATAAAGCAGAGCAGAGAGGAACACCCTGGGCTCAGGGTTCAAATCCGTCCCTGGAGGTAAAAACTCCACCTCTGCGACTTCTACATAGCTGTTTCCTCGCCAGTAAAATGGACAAGTTACTTAACTGATGATGCCTACGTTCGGTGACCTGCGAAGTGAACCTGGTACAATTGCAAAGGGTGCTAGTGTGGATGAGATGAAGACCAACTTCAACAGAGTACTAGCTCGCAGAAAGCACCCAGCATACAGCTACTGCCACCGTTATTATTCATAGCTACACGATGACAAGGAATAAATACATATAAGGCTACACAGTTGAGAAAGGCAAGGAATGAAGGAAAAGAGCAAATGTGGGGACCCAAAGAGCCAAGAGGGCGAATGCGCCGAGGGGCGGCAGGGAGCTCCAGTGGACGCACTGCGGCGGGCGGCGGGCGGCGCGCCGAGGACAGCCGGGCCCGAGAGGCAGCGGCCGGGGGAGGCTCAGGGCGGCCGAGGCAGCACGCGGCTGAGTGGGAGCCCCAGAGCAAAGGCACCGAGTCTCGGATCGCAAGGGCTTCGGGGTCCCGAGAGAGGCGCAGAGAGCGCACTGAAAATGTACAAGAGAGGCCGCGGCCCAGCTCCGGTCCGGCTCTCTCATTCAACCACCTTCCCCTTCCCCCTTCTCCCGCCCCATGCAGTCTTGGGCCCTAAGGCTCCACGGTTCTGCTGCCCACACTCCGCCTCCGATCTCACCGCAACACACTCAGCCCCTAAACATCTGGGCACCGAAATGTAAGGAAAGGCAGTGTTCCCTACCTGAGCTCTCCGGGGTTGAATCGTTCGCCGTCACCACCTTCCCCGCCACGCTCCGCCATTACAGAGAGCCGCGTTCATCCACCCGCCGACTAGGCATCCCCTATTTGCCGGAAGAATCGTCAATCCTGTGGGGCGGAGGCGGATATTGCGAATATCTACGAGTTGATTGGATATATTTTCCATCACCACGCCTTGGGGGCGTGTCTGCCTTGCTATTGGATAAAGGACCCGCCGACTTTGAAAGCGGTATAGAGACAGTCTGTTGATTGGTAGACGAAGGCTTTATGGGAAATGTGGCTGTGGCAACGAAAAAGTGCAGGTGCCCTCTACTGGTAAACAAAACTAGGTCCTCCCACGAACAGTTCTGATTGCGCTAGGAACGTGTCTACGTGTTTCCAAGAGAAAAGTACTGGGACTACATTGGTAGCTGGTAACTCGGGCTTTGATTGAGCAAAAATAACGGCAGCATATGTGTTTAAACCAATCACAGAGTAGATGTGGAAATAAACTATTTCCCTGCTTTACCTGAATAAAAATCTTCCGTTTTCTCCGGGATTTTGTACATGATCTTCTTCTTGTTATGTTTCATCGAGTCACCTGGGAGTCATAGCGACCTTATGCACAATATATCTGAACCATTCCCTGTACTAAACCAGCCTCACTGCCAGTTCACTGTCTCCAGACTCCCATTACCCCAGTTACTGTATCAATCCATCTCATACAGGGTCTTAGTCTCCTGCCAGTCCCTCCATCCTTCCTAAGACGATGTCTTTCTCCAAAGGCTGGTCTCTCCTGCCACGTGCCCAAAATGGAGCTTCAAAATCCTCGCCTCCATGGAGAAACTGGGTAAGTTCAATATCTTCTCCAGCGCCACAACTTAAAGGCATTGATTCTTCTATCATAGTTAGTCATTGTCCAATTCTCTGATGCTTCTTTGGCGTAGTAGACTGTTAGAGACCTCATCAAAGTGTTACAGAGTTATAATGTCAGTCTAGAGACTAAAATGCACCTGATCCAGTCCATGATTTTCTTGATTACTTGTTTCTATAATCTTAAAAACTGAAAACATGTGTACACACAAAACTAGGATTCCCAACAGCCCAAATTCTATAATTCTGCTTAGACAGAAAAAAAGGAATGTATTACTGATATATACTATAATGTGGTATATGCTAAGTGAAAGAAGTCTTGTGTTAATAAACATTTCTGGAACTAGGAAATGGTGGTGATTGCACAACTAAAAACCATTCATTTGTTTAAAATACACCTACAATTTACAGCCTTGGAAACTATGAGTTAGTTCTAAATTGACTGCAATGAGAGAAAGAATCATTCTTGGTCTAGGAAGAGAGTCATATTTATTCTCATTCCCAAGAAAGGTGACCCAGTAGAATGTGGAAATTTTGGAACAAAATAATTTACATCATGTGCAAGCAAAAAAAAATGGCTAGAACAGTACATAGAGAACTGTCAAATATTCAAGCTGGTTTTAGAAGACGCCACAGCACAAGTGATATCATTGCTGATGTCAAGGGATCCTGGCTGAAAGCAAAAAAAAATGTCAGAAGAATGTCTATTTGTACTTATTGACTATGCAAAGGCATTTGACTGTATGGATCATAACAAATCGTGCTAACATTGAGGAAGAAGAATGGGAATCCCAGAGCACTTTAGTTGTGCTCAAGCAAACCTAAACCTAGACCAAGAAGTTACTGTATGAACAGAGCAAGGGAATATCACATGGTTTAAAATTTTAAAAAGGTGTGAGTCAGGGTTATATCCTTTCTTTGTATGCTGAGGAAATCATTCAAGATGCTGAACTCTGTGAAAAAGGATGTGGCACCAGGATTGGAGGAAGACTCATCAATAACATTTGTAAGGCAGATGATAAAATCTTGCTTGCTAAAAGTGTGGAGGAGGACTTGAAGCACTTGCTGCAGAAGGTTAAACACTGCAGCCTTCAATATGGTCTGTGTCTCATCATCATGATATCAAAAATCTGGCCACTGGACCTGTAAGCAACAAAAAAACAGATGGAGAAAAGATTGAAACTGTTGATGACTTCATCTTATTTGGATGTACATTCACTTGCTATCAGTAGTTAGGAGATCAGGAGATATAATGTAGCAGGAAAGTTCATAGTCAGGGACCTCTGCAAATTACTGAGGAGTAACGATGTCAGTTTGAGTACTAAGGTGCACCTGTTTTAAGTCATGGTCTTTTTAATCAATTTCTATGCATCTGCGAGCTGGACAATGAACAAGATGATAGGAGAAGAATTGATGTCTTTAAACTGGTATTAGAGAAGAGTACTGAATATCCCGTTGACTGCTAAAAGAGCAAACAGATATATATGTTTTGGAGATGGTGCAGCCAGAGCTCTCCTCAGAGGCAAAGATAATAAAGCATAGTTTCACATACTTTGAGCATGTTGCTAGGAGAGGCTATTGTGCTTAAAAAGATGAAAAGACAGCGAAAGAGAGGGAGACCCTCAACACAGGGACTGCAGCAATAGGCTTGAGTGTGTCAGAGATTGTGGAGCTGGCACAGGAGAGGACAGGGTTCAGATCTGCTATCTGTAGGCTCACTATAAGTCGTACTCAACTTGATGGCACCTAACAAAAACAAATCTCTAAAGACACAAAGCTGATGGTGGCCTAATGGGCACGGAGTTGTGCTGTCAACCCAAAGGCAGGTGCTTCCAATCCAGCTACTCCAAGCGAGAAAGATGAGCAGTCTCCTCCAGTGCAACTTACAACCGCTGACAATACACTAGGGGGTGTCCTGTGAGTTGGCTCCAAGTCGACTAACAATGAAGACCAACAGAAAGAGAAATTTGTTTCAAGTAAATTACACGCCATAGGAGCAAGTCACAGATTGATAGGTCCTATGTAAGCAGATAAGCTGGGGCTCAGGAAGCAGGGTTCAGAGACTGGCATGGCCAAGGCTATGTATTGGGAAGCAGGGTCAAGCATGGCTGGCATTGGAGACCAAGAAGTCCAAAGTCAGCAAGGATAAATACAAGCCAGATAGTCAACTGTAGATCTAACAGAAAGTCAATCGGATTTTTGAAAGAGATTCCAAATATACATACATACATACATACCCTGTAGGCCACTCCCTTAATGAGATCCACCTTTAGGTAAAATTAGCCCTATCTATTATTAGTGAAAGCAAGGAATACCAGAAGAATGTCTATTTGCTCTTTATTGACTATGCATAGGTGTTTGACTTTGTGGATCATGATAAATTGTGGCTAACATTGAGGAAGAAGAATGGGAATCCCAGAGCACTTGATTGTGTTCATGAGGAACCTATAACTGGAACAGGAGGCTGTTGTGCGAACAGAGGAGGGGAGCACTGCGTGGCTTTGAATTGAGAAGGGAGTGTGTCAGGGTTGTATTCTCTGTCCATACCTGTTTGATCTGTACACTGAGCAAATTAGCCAAGAAGCTGGGTTCTATGAAGAGGAATGTGGCATCAGGATTGGAGGGAGACTCATCAATAATCTGTGTTATACAGATAACACAGCCTTGCTTCAGTATGGATTGCATCTCAATATCAAGAAGACAAAGATTCTTATCACTGGTCCAATAGGCAGTGTCATGATGGATGGAGAGGAAATTGAAACTGTCAACAGCTTCATCTTGCTTGGATCCACAATTAACACCCTTGGTAAGAGCAGCCAGAAAATAAGGAGATGCCTTGCACCAGGAAAATCTATAGTTAGGGCCCTTTCCAAATTATTGAGGAGTAGTGATGTCAGTTTGATGACTAAGGTGCATCTGATTCAAGCCATAGTCTTTCTGATTACTAGCTCTGCATCTAAGAGCTGGACAATGAATAAGGATGACAGAAAAAGAATTGATGCCTTTGAGCTGTGGTGTTGGAGAAGAGCAATGAACATCCCATGGATGGCCAAGAGAACAAACATATATGTTTTGGAGTAGGTGCAGCTGGAGTGCTCTTTGGAGGCAAGAATGATGAGGCTTCTCCGCACATAATTTTGACATATTGCTAGGAGGGGCTATTCTTTGGAGAGGGACATGATGTTGGGAAGGGTGAAAGATTGGTGAAGGAGAGACAGACCCTCAAACAGGTGGATAGACAAGGTGACTGCTGCAATAGGCTTTTATGTCTCAGGAAATGTGAGGATGACACAGGACAGGACTGAGTTCAAATCTTTTATTCATTGAGTTGCTAAGAGTCGTACTGGACTCGACAGCATCTAACAATAACAACAACATTGTTATTGTTCTTCTTCTGTCATCTTTACTCATTGTGAATAAGAAGAATTTATGCCTTTGAGCCGTGTGTTGGAGAAGAGTACTGAATATCCCATGGACTGCCAAGAGAACAAACAAATATGTCCTGGAGAAAGTGTAGCCAGAATGTTCCTTGGAGGCAAAGATGATAAAGCTTCATCTCACATACTTTGGCACGAAGCTAGAAGAGGCTATTCCTTGGAGAGGGACATTATGCTTGGAAAGATGGAGGGTTGGCAAAAGAGAGAAAGATACTCACCCAGATGGATTGATGCAGTGACTGCTACAGTGGGCTCAAGTGTGTTAGAAAGTGTGAGGATGGCACAAGATAGGACAGGATTCAAATCTGTTCATAGAGTTGCTATTAAGTTATACTGACATCAATGGCACCTAACAAAAACATGTTGTTGTCATGTGCCATCTGGTCAACTGCAACTCACAGTAACCTTCTATACAATGGATCTGATCATCTGTCCATATTTGCATTCACTGTACCAATCCTTCTCATTGAAGGTCTTCTTCTCCTTCACTGACCCTTCATCTTTCCAAGAAATTGTCCCTCCTAATAATTTGTACTCATGTGAAATCTACACTTAGGTTAAGAGGCTGTTGTCTGAACTGAGCAATGCAACACTGCATGGTTTAAAGTACGTCCTCAGGGATGTATCCTTTCTCCATACCTATTGAATCAGTATCAGAATTCACGAAGTTTAAGAAGAGGAATGTGATTGAAGATTAGGAGGAATACTCATCAATAATCTGCGTTGTGCAGATGACACAACCTTGCTTCCTCA